AAAAAAAAAAAAAAAAAAAAAAAAGCGAACTCAGGCTGAAGCTGAAGATCAGCCTGCCTCAGCAGATGGGGGAGGGAGTGGGCGTGGCTTGTCTCTTAAAGGGACCAATACCATAACAATGGCTACATTGAAAAGAAACAGAGATCCAGTTATATATCTCATCCCTCCCCTACCTTGTTCATTTTTAGGATTTTAACATCAAGTTACTGGGATTGTTAAGAAAAATCCATTTCCTGATGAGATAGATGTTTTGGTAATTGCTAGTACTTAATAGGGAAATATTTGGGATTGGGTTAGAGAGGTGGTTCAGTGATTAAAAGCAATTATTGGCCTTCTAAAGGACCTGATTCTTACTCCTAGCATTTCTTATTCTCCTTTGGTATCAGAAAGCATCTGTACCCCTGTGATGTAGACACATAAATAAAAGTAAAATCTTAAAAAAACTAGATTAATAACATATTTTTTCCCATGTTTGTTTTTGAATAGGGAGTCATATAATCCAGATTGGACTCAAACTCACTGTGTAGCCAAAGTTATCTTCAACATCTGATCTTCCACTCTCCCACATGCTGGAATTTTTTCCCCAAAACTTGATACATGATATTGTTACATACTAGGTAGACACTTTTTAAACTGAACCCCAACTCTAATACCATTTTCTTAATTTTAAAATGTGTGTGTGCGTCTGTGTGCTTGAGCGTGTGCGTGTACTCATGTATGCAGACTACCGTCAGAGGACAACTTTGAAAAGTTCTCTCCTTCCACTGTGGTCCCTAGGGTTTGAACTCAGGTTATCAGCAAATGCTTTTACCCTAAGCTATCTTGCCAGCACTAATTTTAAATATTTTTGGATAGAGTTTTGCTGTGCCCTACTGTCTCAGTCCCCACTCAGTAGCTCAGGGCTGACTTGAAGTTTGTGGTAATCTTTCTGGCTTAGCCTCCTGTATGCTGAAGTTACACAGTTATTAGCCACCATGCATGTCAGCTAATGGCACATTTTAGAAACATGTAGATAAGTCCATTAATTAATAAACTATGACCTGTGGGTAATAATAATAATAATAAATTATGAGTTTCAAGACTTAATTACTTTCCTGTTATTAACAATGCCTTAAAAGAAGAAACTTAAGGGATAAACGGTTTATTTTAGCTCACGGTTAAAGCTTCAGTTCATCTTTGTCAGGGCAACAGGAACTTGAAGCAAGTTGTCACATCATTTCCACAGCCAGGAAATGAAGAAGGATAAATAAAAGTTGCTTCTCGGTTCCCCTTCGCAAGGTCCCATTTAGAAGAAGGACGCTTCTTCTGTGGTGGATGGTCTTCCACCTCATTAACTAAGTCCCAATTGGCCTGAAGACATGACTCGGCAGGTAGATCTAAACACAAGCTGCAGAAGCCTGATAACCTGCATTCTTCCCTTCCAAATCCACAGCAAAATGGAAGGTGAACCTAAAACACAGTGTTGTTCTCTGACCTCCATACATGCACACTTGTGTACACAAATACAAGCAATAATTCTTTTAGAAAGATAACACTTATTGAAAGGATATGTATTTGGTTCCAAATAAAAATAATATGGATAGCCCGTGAGAAACAGCACACAAGAGTGGACCCCACCCACCCCACCCCCACAAATACAAATTTGGATCCACATGAACACGTATACAAAAACCTCACAGGTGTGGCATATTACACCTTTAATTCTAGAATGTAGAAGGCTAAGGAAGGAAGATAACCTTATCTGGTGAGTTCCTACAGTGTAACACTCTGTTTGAAAAATCAGGAAGAAAGAAGGGAAGGAATCCATCTTGCTCAGGATTTAGCTGAGTGGTAAACAACTTGCCTGATGTGGGCAAGTGTATGGATTAGACCCCCAGCAATCTAGACAAGTTTAGCTCTTCATCCAGTCTTTAACTGTATAGCCTTTATCTTTTGTTAGTACAGAAAGTTAGTTAGCCAGGCATGGTGGGACACAGCTGTAATAACAGGACTTTGGGAGACAGAGACTGAGGATTAGGAATAATTTCAAATGTAGTAGATTCATGGCCATCCTGAGCTACAGAAGACCTTTCTTAAAATAAAAGAAGGGGCTGGGAGATGGCTTAGTTAAAAATACTGTTCTCTAGAATAGCTGGGTTCATTTCCCAACACCCATATCCATAAGCTCACTTAACTTCCTAACTTCAGGGTATCAGACTCTCTTTTCTGCTCTCTGTAGGCACCTTTGTGCACATGCCATACACATACATATACATAAATTAAAAATAAATATTTAATTAATGAAATTAAAAGCTGATTGATTTCCTATAATCCTAGCACTCAGAAGACAGGCAGGAAGGATCGATCGCCACAGCTTCGAGACCAGCCTGGTTTGCCTGGTGCATTCTGAGCCAGCAAAAGCTTTGTAGCACAGCCTTATCTCAAAAGGTGAAGAAGAAAAAAAAAATAGAAACAGAGCAATTTAGATAACTCAGTGATCAATTTTTTGTCTGTGTGTGCTGTGTTGTCTCTTTTAGTGAATGGAATTCCCTCCAGAAGTCCCAGATTGGTTGCGTCTATGGATGATTCTGTAGACAGTCTGTTGCAACGGATAGTACATGATGAGCAAGAGTCCATGGAGAAAAGTACTGATGCTGCAGTTACAGCTGTGTCTGTACCACCTTCCTCCAGTCCAGGCCATAGCTATAGCAAAGAGCGAGCCCTAGGTAAATCAGATAGTCTTCTAATGTCTGCGGTCCCAGGTGACTCTTGTGATAATAATGTCCCACTTCTTTCTGAAAAGTTAGCAAGTCGATGTTCTCCCCATCATATCAAGAGAAGTGTAGTTGAAGCTATGCAGCGCCAAGCTCGGAAAATGTGCAATTATGACAAAATCTTGGCCACCAAGAAAAACCTGGACCACGTCAATAAAATTTTAAAAGCCAAAAAACTTCAAAGGCAGGCCAGGACAGGGAACAATTTTGTGAAACGCAGACCAGGTCGACCTCGGAAATGTCCCCTCCAAGCTGTGGTATCAATGCAAGCATTCCAGGCTGCCCAGTTGGTCAATCCAGAATTGAATGAAGGTGAAGAAGTAGCGCTGCACCTAAGTCCAGACACAGTTACTGATGTGATCGAGGCTGTGGTTCAGAGTGTGAACCTTAATTCAGAACATAAGAAGGGGTTGAAGAGGAAAAATTGGCTGTTAGAAGAACAAAGTAGGAAAAAGCAGAAGACAATACCAGAGGAAGAAGAACAAGAAAACAATAAAAGGTAATTTCTTTCTTAAGATATTATAGTCTAAATAACAGCACTCTAACTTCTTTATTTTCTTGTTTGTTTATCTTCTATATGTGTGTATGCATATGATGGCAGGTATAGGGGAACCCAAAAAACAATCTGTGAGATCTCTTCCACCACGTGGGTCCCAGACATCAAATTTGGCTCATTGGGCTTGGCAATTGGCATCTTCATTGATGAGCTAATTCTCCAAGACCAGCTTAAGTGTCTCCAAATTGTACTATATTTATGTAACGGAATCTTCCTTCCTTCCTTCTTCCTTCCTCCCTCCCTTCCTTTTTTTTTTTTTTTTTTTTTTGAGACATGCGATTTCTCTGTGTATCTCTGACTGTCCTGGTACTTGCTTTATAGACCAGGCTGGCCTCAATCACCAAGATCCACCTGCCTCTGCCCCTGACTGCTGGGATTAAAAACGTGCACGAGGGCCTGGCTTCTTTAGGCTGTTTTCTTTTTTTGTCTGTTTTGTTTTATTTTTTTGGTTTGTTTTTATTGGTAAGGCTGGCCTTGAATTACCAGAGATCAGCCTGGCCCCACCTCCTGAGTGTTAGGATTAAAGGCGAGTGCCACCACACCCTGTCAAAGACTGTTTTCTATCCTTAAGAAATAGGTAAGAATGTTTTTGGTGAAGTACTCATGCATGCCAATGATTCCAGGTTGAAGAACAATCTGGAGTTTTAAGGTCAATCTGAGCTATACTGATATTTTCAGCCATCCTAGGCCACATAGTATAGCTAGAGCCTTTTTTTAAAACACACGGTGGCCATAAAATTATTTTGATATAGTAAAAAAAGTAAACGGGCCTAAGATTCAAAACAAAAAAAGAAAAATGAACCTTTAGTTAATGAATTCAAGAGTCTAGTGTGATAAACAGCCGAAAGAATTTATTGAGCTCTACATTTTTCCCTGCTCCCCTCCCTGCCTCTCCCCTCCCCTTCGACTCTCCCCAATGTCCCCATGCTCCCAATTTTTGGTTTGTCGAGACAAGATCCGCCTGCCTCTGCCTCCTGAGTGCTGGGATTAAAGGCGTGTGCCACCATCACCCAGCTGGTTCCTGCTCTTCTTCTCATTTCTGTTTCTATAATTCCTTTGGCTTGTGTGTGTGTGTGTGTGTTTTTTTAATTGTTTCTATCTCAATTTTTAAGACCTGACTTTAAATGATTTGCTGATGCCTTCCAATTTTTTGTTTGTTTTTTCTCCATTTTTTTTAAAGAGAATTTCTCATTTCATCTTTAAGAATTTCAAACATTTTCTTAAGGTTATTTTTTAGATCATGTTCTCTTTTATCCATATTTGGTTGTTCAGGTTTGCTTTTGTAGGGTCTTTAGTTTTTACTGGTGTTGTGTTGCTCTTTGTGGTGTAGCATGTGAGTGATCTTACCTTTTCTACTATCTTTTTCTCTAATAGGTCTCTAATAGGGGCTGTCTGAGATTCTGTTGAATAATCTTCTAGGTGACAGTTAATCCAAAACTCAGATGGTTGTTCCTCATGGTACAGTCATTTTCACAGTTCTAGTTACCCCATTGGTTACTCCATGCTCCTGGAGGTAGCCCAGTGCTCCTGGGCTCTGGTCTGCTCACTTGGAGATTGCTGTCTCAGGCCTACTTTGGACTAGGCTGCTGGCTATGATTTGTTTTTGTAAATCCTGGTCTGGATCTCTCCTGCAGAAGTCCCTGCCTTGGAGTTGGACCTGGAAATGTTTCTGGCTCCAGTCTGCTGCCTCGGTGGTCCCAGGCTCAGGTGTGCCTGAACCCACAGAGGACCTGCATACTTCCTCAGAGGTCACAGACTCATGCTCAGACACGCAGGGGTTCCAGGTTCCTACCTATTCCCTTTGATGTCCCAGACCAATGCCTGAACCCACAGATGACCTGGCTCAGGCCTACTCTTTCTGAGGTCCCAGACTTGTGCCTAGCCCCGCTGAGATCTTTGGTTCCTGCCTGTTTCCTCGGAGGACCCAGGTTAACTCACCCCCAGACTGACAGAGGTCCTGGCTCCAGCCCAGTTCCTGGGAGGTCCTAGACTCTCACCCAGACCCACCAGGATGTTAGCTTAGGTCTACTCCCTTGAAGGTTCCAGATTCACATCCGGACCCTCAGCAGTCTCTTGTCCTGGCTCACTTGCTCAGCAGTTACTACCTTGTACCTGTTCCGGTGGAGATTGTTGTTGACTCTGGATCTGGTCGCTGGCTCAATCCTGATCCGCCCATGTCCTAGGACTGGGTTTGCTCCTGGTGGAGCTTGTTCTCTCTGTGTCCTAGGTTCAGTCCCACTCTGGTGGAGATTGCAGTCTCTGAGTCAGGTCGTTGGATCAATTCTGGTTTGCCAGTGTCCCAGGACTGGGTTGGCTCCTGGGACTGGATTTGCTCCTGGCTTGTAACCTTGAAATTCTTATATCCTGCTTCCTCTCACTGTCTTGTTTTCTTCATTGGTGACTTTCAGCACATTTATTATCATTTGCTTTGTTTTATTTGAGTTGATCATCCTCATGGTGACTTAGATTCATATAACTTCAGGTTAATACTTTTTTTTTTTTATTGAGAAAAGGAAAAAAAGTTTCCGCCTCCTCCCAGCCTCCCATTTCCCTCCCCCTCCTCCCACCCTTCTCCCCCTCTCCTCACTCCTCTCACCCCCCCTTCCTCTCACCCTCCCTCTCCAGTCCAAAGAGCAGTCAGGGTTCCCTGCCCTGTGGAAAGTCCAAGGTCCTCCCCCCTCCGTCCATGTCTAGGAAGGTGAACATCAAAAACTGGCTAGGCTTCCACCAAGCCGTATCATGAAGTAGGATCAAAACCCCGTGCCATTGTCCTTGGCTTCTCATCAGCCCTCATTGTTCGCCATGATCAGAGAGTCCGGTTTTATCCCATGCTTTTTCAGTCACAGTCCAGCTGGCCTTGGTGAGCTCCCAATAAGATCAGCCCCACTGTCTCAGTGGGTGGGTGCACATGGTCCTGACATCCTTGCTTAAATGTGTGAGCCATCCACCCAACTTGTCTAATTTAAATTATTTATTTATTTATTTGGGTTTTTGAGATGGGGTTTCTCTATAGCTTTGGAGCCTGTCCTGGACTAGCTCTTGTAGACCAGGCTGGCCTTGAATTCACAGAGATCTGCCTGCCTCCTGAGTGCTTTTTTCTTTTTTAAGACAGGGTCTTACTGTGTAGCTTTGGCTAGCCTAGAACTATGTAGTATAGACCAAGCTGTCCACCAGCTCATAGAACAGTGATTGTCTCTGAAATTAAAAGTGGGCATCAACATGCCTGATGCATGGCTGTAAGGTCAGTGCATGGGAATAGGAGCCACAAGAATCAGGATCTGAAGATCATTATTGTCTACACAGCAGGTTCAGGGCTAAGACTCCGCCTCGAAAATTACAACAAATACACATGTATGTGTGTGTATAATTATTTTTCACAATAACATCTTTAAATTATTTTTTTTCTAGTTTTATAGAAACACCAGCTGAAATTCCCATTCCTCTTGAAACCCCCACCGAACCTTCTGAACCTGAAAGTACCTTGCAACCTGTGCTGGCTCTCATCCCACGAGAAAAGAAGGCCCCACGTCCTCCAAAGAAAAAGTACCAGAGAGCTGGGCTGTATTCTGATGTTTACAAAACCACAGAGTAAGTAGTGGCAACTGAAAGCTTATATCTTCTTATCCCTATTATCCACCATAGCTTTATAATTTTTACTACATTTGTGTAATCCAGTCTCCTCTCTACCACCCCAGACTGGGTGGCAGGCACCTTTAACCACTGAGCCTGAACAAAATATTTTTTTTCACTACCAAAAACCAGTATATATAGCATTATATATGTGTAATGTGTCTTGTATATGTACCGGTCTCGAGTACCTGAATACTCACTGGACTGTTGATGCCACACTGTTACAGGTTATAATTATCATCCCTGATGTTTAGCCTCTCTCTTCTACTTCCATTCTGTCAGTTGGAGTCCAATTATGCCTTTTATTGTTTGAAAATAAGAATAAAAGCTAGGTGTGGTGGTGTACACCTGAAATGCCAGTACTCTGGAAGCAGAGGCAGGAGGATTGCCTCTTGTTCAAGGACTTCATTCTTTACATAGTTCATTTCAAGCCTGCCAGGACGTTTCTTAAGTTTAAAAGAAATTGTTGGGGCTGGAGAGATGGCTCAGAGGTTAAGAGCATTCATTGCCTGCTCTTCCAAAGATCCTGAGTTCAATTCCCAGCAACCACATGGTGGCTCACAACCATCTGTAATGGGGTCTGGTGCCCTCTTCTGGCCTTCGGGCATACACACAGACAGAACATTGTATACATAATAAATAAATAAATAAATATTTTTTTTAAAAAAAAAGTTTAAAAAATAATTAGCCGGGCGGTGGTGGCGCACACCT